GGTCAACAAAGTGGCCTTTTTTCCCCATGAACATTGTCAATAATTTAGAAAATGGGTCATTCAAGTAAAAACAAAATGATAGCTAGCTAACCATATCTACCTTAATTATCTCCTCATCAAAACAGATAAGAAACCTAGGAAAAATAAAATTAAAATTCAACATGTCAATGTTGAATCATTTCAATTTTGCCAAGAATTTTCTAAACTTCAGTAGTTGTTTGAATTTGTCTCTTTTTTGGATTGAACTGCATGGATGATTTTTTTTTCTTAACATGAAGTTGGGTTGTTGGATGATGGACTAAATTGACATTTGAAGATATATGTGTCTCTCACTTTTGGTCATATTCTCATCCTCAATCATGCCAGTATTCAAGCTCACATCAAACAATGCTACCTTTCAACAAATTGCGGACAAAACAAATGTATAGACTCATTCAAGTCAAAATAATGCTTGATTTTTACAACTTTGTGCAATTGGACCCGATTTTTGTGTCTTTCATAAATTTAGACTGATTCTTGCCATGAAATGTCTTTTTGTGGAAGAACTTCTATTGATTGCCGCTAGACCTGGCAAACGGACGGGTTGGGTCAACTCAGATGACGGGTTTTACGGGTTGAGATATAAACGAGTTGCAGGTTGGAAAAGTCCAATCCTAACCCAACCCTAACGGGTCACGGGTTAACCAGCGGGTTGACTTTATTTTCATTATTTATTATTATTTTTTATTAATTTTATTATATACAAATAAAATTATATATATTTAAATCTAATTAAAGTATTGTGATTCATTAAAACTAAGTACTTTATGGTTTCAACCACAAATAATTAAATTAAGAAAAAAATCATAAAATTATAAATAATATAAGTTGATTAACAATAACAATATTAAATGTAAAATATTTAAATTTCTTGGGAAATAAAGTTTAATTTTATAATTATCTCGAAACATTATCAAGTTGTTTAAGTCATTTTTTTAATGATGAAATTGCTTTTCCAAGAACCTCTTTCACTAAGTTATTATATTTATATCTTAGCATCACATCTTTTAATATTTTTAGTTGTATTATCATTTCATTCATGATACTTGGATAATTATTAATACAAAAAAAAAAAATGATACTTGGATAATTAGATCAAACTCATCATAATTTCTACGTCTTTTTCTAGAAATTAAGGAGTATGAATTAATGGAAGGAGTTACCAATAGGAAAATTAATTAAGAATAAAAAGTATAATATTTAAAAATAATAATAAAAAATAAAACAAACGGATCAACTCATTAACCCGTGGATTGGCCCTAACTCAACCCATGACCTGTATGGGTTAATAATACGAATTATCTACGGGTTGTGAGTTGAAATATGTAGACTCTAATCTATTTTTACGGGTTAGGTTAAGATCGGATGTATTTTTATCAGGTCTCATTGCCACATTATGTTGATGTTAACAAGTTTTAAAGAACAGATTTCTATACATGAGTTCAGATAATCAATAAGAGTACTTCTCAAGATAAAAGCAAATATATATATATATATATATATATAGAATGAGATGAAACAGAAGTATGATCCTGTATGCCCAGAAAAGGTTGAAGAAAAAGAGGAAAAATTGTAGACATGGTTTCTTCAAGGGGAATATTTGTGGGCTTTGGAGCAGCTAATTTTCCATCCTAGGAACGGATTTGGTGATTATGATTTCGAAATTTCTGTGCCTGCATCATTGGACATATATAGATATGCATTACTTATATTGAATATATGAGTATACCCCCAAGAAATCAAATTGATAATGAATTATGGGTGCATATTCTTAACCTAACCAGCTTATTTTACAGAAAATTGTATAGTCTTACTCAGGTATGAGTAAGACCAGGTGCAAGAGTCTAACATAAAAAAATAAAAAAAAATAAAAAAATAAAAAAGAAAAAAGAAAAAAAGAAGAAGCCAATTAATAAATTGTCTTCTAGGAAATTTCTATATCTTAGGTAAGAGATAAACATCTGCATTTTGCAATGCATGAATGTTTCTATTGTGCACATGGAGTGACATAAGAAAAAGAAATGCATATACTGATGTTGTCATGTTGACAAAGTGTTGAATGTCATGTTAATGCCTTTGATTCCATTGCACACATATGCAATTCCATTTTCCTTTCTGAGGTCATTATCTAAGGTTTTGACAAATAAAATTAACATACTTTAATACCACTCCTAGCTATATCCTAATCATAACAAGTATTATATGATATTTTGTGGGCATAATTAGTATAGCAAGGATTTGGCCTCACCCCATGAGCAGCCTATATCAAGCTGGGATTCTTGCTATCCTATCCATCACCATGTGTACCTTTACACCTCCTATCATGCATAATGGACCCCCCAAAACAAATTAACAAGACAGAGAGAAATGTAAAATGGAAGCAAAGCAAAGGCCAAAGGGGCAAGGCACACAATTCTAGAGTGAGAAATGTGCATGGTGGGGTCATTTTGTGTGGAGGCTAAACACTATCTTTTGGTGCATGACAAAGAATGGGGTCACCCCAATAGCCTTTCTGGGTCCCCTGGAGATGGGGAAAGACACTTGCAACTTTGTTAATTTTTTTTAGTAGTTAGTTGATAACATGAATCAGCTAATTACTTACATTATATTAAAATCAAATCAAGTTATTCACATTAATTGAAGAATCAAGAGGTGCAAAATAATTGAAGAATTACCTCCTTGGCGTAACCTATCAATAAGATTTTCATATAAACGAGGTGGATAACAATTAATTGAACCTTTTTCACCAATCAAGCCAATTCTTTAGGTGATTCCCACCTTAATTTGTTTGATTTTATGCAATGTCAAGCAAGAATTGGCTCAGTGGGTGGGGCATAAGTGTCCCCAAGGGCCTAAGAGCCCTTATTTTGTGTGCCTCTTCTCTCTTCCAAAATGAAAGTTAAAAGGTGAAAAAAAAGGAGAGAAACAAAGAGGTTCAATCATCATATATGTGGGGAGGGGAGACAAGAAGACACCAACTGAGTCTGTGTAGCTATATACCCATTGACTCTCTCTTCCCTTCAACTCCATCATAAACCCATTAATTATATGTTTTCTAGAGAGATAAAGAGTGCATGAGAAAAGCAATTGACTTTTAGATTTCACAAGGTTGACATTTGCAATAAAGTTTTGTCTATCTTGAAAGCATCCAAGGCACAAAAATTTTACTCTTTCTCCCTCTATTGGATTCTTGTGAGTGAAGGTATGGAGGTGGGAAACACCCTTAATTTTTACCATAAAGGGCGGTTGGTAGCATGGTGCTGCTAGCTAGCTCCATCTTAGCTACACAAACGTTAAATGTATATTAGGATTTAGGAATCTAGCCAGGGATTTTGAGGTTTGCATTTAATTCACTCTATATTACTACCTTTTGGATGGTTTAGATTAATCTAATGAGAAACAAAATTAAGACCCTTATATATACTTTATATTCTTTTATGAAACCCTAACATTTTTTAAGTGCATGCATTGACCACTTGGCACGCAGACAACCAAAAGGCATGGATGATTACACTGCACATGATATTAAAAACATTTATATGAAGAGAGGTGGTAGGCATAAATGAACAATCAATGTCATTCCTTTCTTCTCCTACATTGCATGAATCTTTTGGCATAATTCCTTGTATTTTAATATGGTTGGTTATTTATATTGGCAAATCTAGGAAAATGAATGCTTCATTTAATGGAAGATTCCGGTGTATCTCAATTTTCATCATCAACGTTCAAAATTCCACTTGATGGACTGTTGCTATACTGCTGGCCTATCTTGTTAGAATTATGGACTCATATGCTTAGATTTTCATATATGGAACTTAACTAGAACTTTTTTTTCTCTTATAAATGATGATGTTAATTTGAGTATAACTTCATCTAGATGTTAATATAATTAAAAAAAATTTCAAAAAGAATAATGTATCAAAAAAATGTTTATTAGTTTCATTTATAAAAAAATTAAACAGGAAAATATTTCAAAAACTAAAATAACTTAATCTTAAAGCAACAATAATATTATTTTGGTATTTTCTACTGATACTTTATTAATAAAAAAATAATTTTGATGTATTTTTTTACTTAATTTATTTTGCAAATAATACTAATAAACACTAATATCATTATGTTTATTTAAAATTTCTCAAAAAAGTAAAAAAAAAAAACTATATTTCACATAGACTGGGCTTATAGTAATACAATCAGATGTCAAAGGCCCATCCTTTCTCCAAACCCACTATTCTAAAACCAGTAGCCAACGGATCCGGTCTTCGGTAGCCCCACCCATACAGGAGCAAGATGGTTCTCTCTCTTGGGGGGGACTGGTGGGCGCATACGGCGAAAGAAATTTGTTCCTTCTTCTCTTTCTTCACGCCTCCCATGCCCATACATGCCTACAGCTAGCATCCCATGATGATGGCATTATCCATGCTTGCATAACATAAACATCATGTACCCATACTCATGGGGGGACCCCATGCATCATAGAATCAGAACAGCAGTAGAGAGAGAAAGAAGCGCTCTTCTCTCTCTTCTGCACTGGTGTATCTTTTTATATATTCTTTGCTCTTTTTATTATTTATTTAATTATTTGTTTTTACAAATATTAATATCTTCTTTCACCCACTAGAAAGAGGGGAAAAGGTGTTAGAAAAAAGAATTTTTTCTCTGCAAATTGCAAGTTCTTTAATTTGTTTTCTTAAAAAAAGGAGTGGTTTTGGTTTTCATTTTGCTTTGTTTGGGTTTAAGAAGAAAACAACCATATTTGGGTAAATGCAAATTTCAGGCTGACCTGACTTGTTTACATTTTGGTTTGTTTTTTTCTCTGTCAAAATACATACACAACATAATACAGTCTATATTTCTGTGGGTTGGTTTGTCTTTGTTTTTTCCTTCTGTGTACAAAAAGAAAGGGTCTTTCTTTCTTTTTCAGTTGTTTTTCTCTCATCACTCCTTCCCTTAGGAATCTCGAGATTGGCGTCTAAGATAAAGACCTCAGGACTCCTCTGTGCTCAAGCTCTATACTTCAACTTTTGCTTTGAGAAAGCAAAGTTTTCGAGTAAGTTAAGCTTTGCTATCTGATGAAGGAGAGAGGAAGGCTCTCTTGGAGGAGAGGGCCTGCCTGTGAACACCATCACCACCATTAACAAAGATCAAACAACTTTCTTCTGAAGAAACAAGCTAACCCCATTTGCTATACAGTGAACACAAGGCTTGAGGACCAAAAAACGACATCTGGGTATTTCTTTTCTTTTCCTTTTCTGGTCTTTGTTATTGATCCTTCTTTTGCGTTTTTTTCCTGGCTCACGTTTGGTGGGTTTTCTCTTTTGTATGTTATGGCGCTGACTTTGCAGAGAGAATTGTCAAATAAGCAGATGGATACAAGCAAGTATGTGAGGTATACGCCAGAGCAAGTGGAGGCTCTGGAGAGGGTGTATAGTGAATGCCCCAAGCCTAGCTCTTTAAGAAGGCAGCAGCTTATCAAGGAGTGTCCTATCCTCGCTAATATTGAACCTAAACAAATCAAAGTCTGGTTTCAAAACCGCAGGTAAACATACATTCTTCTCTATTGGTGTTTTTGGTGAACTCTCGGTTTATTATTTTGTTTCTTCTTCTAAATAAATCATTTTTCTCCGTTTCGGTTTAAATTTTGTCAGTTATTTTGTCGACTCAGGAGATTTTGTGTGTTCCTCATTCAAAACTGGCACTTTTCTGTGTTGATCTCTGTATCTCTTGGTAAAAGTATGTTCATTTTGGGACAAAGGCAGTATTCTTCCATCCCATTTTTCTTGATGGTATATGCTTGTTTTTCATATTTCTTTGTTACCCTTTGATCTTCTAAGGGAAGTGAATGAAGAGTGGCGAGGGTTTTTTGGGCTCATTTTTCCTTACTGTGTTAAAATTGGCTTTGGGTTTACCGTTTGTTCTCTCTGCAGTCTGGATTCGTTGCCTTTTTTTTTTTTTTTCCCATTTCTATTTTTGATTGGTTGATGTTCTCCTCTATTTTTTTTTTATAAATGATTTTTGTGGAAATTAATCGGTCCGTGTACTCCGCTTGTTTTTTTTTTT